TGGAATAAGGTTATTTTATAATTTTATGTTGGGTTATTTGTTTAAAATGATTGCGTTTTTAATACATATACTATGGTTTTTTTGAGTTGCAATGACGAAAAACATGGGACCGTTTTTTTTTATTGTGTTCTGTCAATCTGGTTTCCAATTTTCTTCCTGTTTCTCCGATGTAGAATTCTGGGCAGCTATTGCATGTTATTTTGTAATTGACGTCCGTATTGTGTGATTCTAAATAATTTGTGTTTAGTAACGATTTTAACTTAGGGCCGGGTTTTTGTGAGAATTTGATGTTGACAGGAATATTGTGTTTAATGGCTAGTTTTGTCCAAGTGTTGATAATAATCAGAAAGTAAACGTAACACTACAGTTGAATGACTAATGGCAATTGTTAGCTAGAGCGAAAGAAACTTAGCAGCTTTATGACTGATGTTCTGTGTTAGATTCACATACATCTGCGTTTATAAAAACTTTATACACTTGTATATTAAGCAAAGGAGTATACAACATGCAGTACGTATGTATACCACGTAAACAACTGGGACAGAGACTTCCCCACTTCAACTTTACTGTTTGAGAGAAAGTGTTATTGTAATCGTTTCCAGCATTATGTTTACAGTAAGTTCCTGAAAGCCAATCTACTGCTATACAACAAAGCTGAGTTAACAAAATATTTTACGTATATAAATTATATGATCTGTCAGTGACGCCAAACTTGCTCGAGGAATGTAAAGTATCTGCATACATTTAAACACAAGGAAACTGGACTTGAACCCAGGTGAGTGTTTGTCAAGTATTTGTATGTGTGGGTCCTGACACTCACTTATTATTGTACCTTTCTTAAATAATTACACTTTACAGTCTTATGCAAACTTATGTCGTGATTTCATGCGTTTAATAAAATGGAAAATTTTAAAAACATAACTGACTGAACAAGGAATAAAGCACAAAACCAACGATGTTTATAATTAATTAATAAACCATTATTATTATTACTCAGGTCCTAACATAAATTAACGAATCAAAACTAAATAAGAACAGAAAACAAATTACTTGTATATCTTGAGACAACAAAGATAATTGTATAGATAACTAGATGAAACAGAAATTATCATAGATCACTAGATCAGGTAGAAATTCTGATATATAATTAGATTAAACACAAAATCCTATAGACCATTATATGAGATATGAATTCAATCAATCAGTGAAGTTATCTGGTGATGTTATAACACTGAGTTCATTTTCTAAGATTTAGAAGATGAGGATCGTTCTTTTTCAACATTTAAACGATTTACTCTTCGTGGCTTTTAGTTTCTAATAAAGTTGATATAGTTAGTTTTTACATGAACCAAAATCTAACAACTAGCGCTATACACTCGGAAACTGAAATCTGATATAAACCACTAACGATAACACGATACAGAAATTAATATCTGATGTACATCACTAACGATAGTACAATACAAAAATTAATATCTGATATACACCACTAACGATAGCACAATACAGAAATTAATATCCGATATACACCACTAACGATAGTACAATACACAAATTAATATCTGATATACACCACAAACGATAGCACAATACAGAAATTAATATCTGATGTACACCTCTAACGATAGTACAATACACAATATAGTATCTGATGTACATCATAACGATAGTATAATACATAAATTAGTGTCTGATGTACACCATAACGATAGTATAATACACAATATAGTATCTGATGTACATCACTAACGATAGTACAATACAAAAATTAAAATCTGATATACACCACTAACGATAGCACAATACAGAAATTAGTATCCGATATACACCACTAACGATAGTACAATTCACAAATTAATATCTGATATACACCACAAACGATTACACAATACAGAAATTAATATCTGATATACACCACA